ACAAATTGTCGGGAGATTCAAGAGAGAGTTCCCTAACCAGCGAGAGATGATCACGGACATAAACTCCCAGGCCATACATGTGGATTTTAGAGTCCTTTCTAAGGGGAAGAAGGTAGCCGCGAATCGAGAAATCAGAAGAAAGGATTGACGAGTTATGATTAGTCTCGCAGAGAGCTAGTATATCAGGAGACTTTTCGAAGAGGAACTATTCCACACTGAAGAATTTGGTACGAATGCCACGGATGTTGGAGAAGGAAATGTTAATGGGTTTAGGCAATTTTTTGAGCTGGTTTAGATTTATATTTTTGATTGTTTTTTGGAAATTGTTGAATTTTAGGCGTAAGACACCACGATTTATTTATCGACTTCATTTTCACCACCAAGTATTTATTGACTCCTTTTTGATGATCCAGGCATTTATGGTTCTCTGGATTATCCCATTAATCCAAAGGGTTCTATATCGATTGTTTATTATGAATAGAAGTACATAGGTTCACCTATTGCCCGGTTCACAATCCTTCCAGTCTTATGAACCGGAGTAGAGGTCTATCCCCTGTTTTTTTGGGTTTTTTTTTTTTGTTGTTTGGGATTGGGTTTCTACTTTCTTCTAAAGTCTGCTTCAAATTTAACCTCGCCGTGTGAACTCTGAAATTTTATCTAGTAATTTATCCCCCCTCAACCAATAGGATTAGACAGGCTCACCTATCGCCCGGTTCAGACTCCTCCCAGTCTTTTGAACAGGACTAGAGTTTTATCGCTTGTTTCCTGTTTATGATTGGGTTTCCGGAACCTTCTAAAGTCTTTTTCATTCTCTTTCATTCCCAGTTGCCCCTTGCATCTTAGTGGCATTATCACCTTGCTTGAGATGAATTGGTTTTAAAAAAAATAAGGAGAGACCCCTGCACTACACCAGTATTGCTTTTAATGTGTTGGGTTAAGATGATAAAAATAAAAGGCATATCTTTCAGCGCTATCCGTGTTTCATATTATAACATAAAAACATCCACTCTCATCGGACTCATTTTTGGAACGTCATGGACAGCAGCTGTTTCGTCACCGGCATTTTTTCTTCAGACATAAGCTAAAACCTATTCTCGTGAACAAGAAAGAAAACGTTTTGAGCGGCAATTGAAATAATTTTTTTTTAAAAAATGTTGAATTATTGCTTAAAATGAATTAATGTTTCGTTTGTAAAAAAAAAAAAAAAAAAAAAACGCTATATGGTGTAACTGAAGCATTTACTTTCTGCTGACAGTTTTTAACGTGGTTCGGAAATAAGTTTTATGATGACTTTACATTCTTTTATAAGTCTGCGCTTGATGTAATTCGATACAAACATATTCGGGTCAAATGAAATCAACTAGTAAACACATGTAACTTTTATTTCAGTCACGCTGCTGAGAGTGTTGTTAGATTCTAAACATTATTCTTTGAATTACAAAAAACTAGTAACCTAGTTCTTGTATGACTCTATTTCGACCGGCCTAGTTTCCAGCTTTCTTTAGGTATACTCTCCACTGTCCCTTAAGACTTTAAAACGGAAACTTCTATTTCAATTATTAATAATTTACATCATTTTCATTTCATGTACGTTTTATTGCAAATGCCATATCGTCATTCTATGACCGTTAATAAACCGTGACCAGCAGGGGCGGCTCAAGGGTCTTATGACCACCGTCTTTCAATCTATGATACATCCCCCACCCAAATCTATGATACGACCTATTACACCTCGATTTTCGTAATGTAGTATTGATATGAAATACAAAGTTTATTGTAACCCAGTTATGTACAATAATGGATCATATGCAATAAAGGTGAACAATTCAGTTAGAGAAATCGAAAATAAATGCAATGTATCTAAAACAGGTCTGAAATACCTAAAATCAAGCAGGAACAGAAATTTAAATATGTGTGAAGTGATCTGACAGAGGACGGAAAATGTAACACTGAGATCCGAAGACGTAAGTGTCCTGACAGACGACGGAAAATGTAACATTGAGATCCGAAGACGTAAGTGTTCTGGCAGACGACGGAAAATGTAACACTGAGATCCGAAGACGTAAGTGTTCTGACAGACGACGGAAAATGTAACACTGAGATCCGAAGACGTAAGTGTCCTGACAGACGAAGGAAAATGTAACATTGAGATCCGAAGACGTAAGTGTCCTGACAGACGACGGAAAATGTAACACTGAGATCCGAAGACGTAAGTGTTCTGGCAGACGACGGAAAATGTAACACTGAGATCCGAAGACGTAAGTGTTCTGGCAGACGACGGAAAATGTAACAATGAGATCCGAAGACGAAAGTGTTCTGGCAGACGACGGAAAATGTAACACTGAGATCCGAAGACGTATTGGGATGGCCAAAGACACATTTCAAAAGCTAAGCATAATATTACGAGACAGGAAATGTTCGTTGGAAACATAAAAAAGAGTACTGAACTGTTACGTGATATCTTTCTTCCCGTATGGCAGCGAATACTGGACAATCTTCTTAAAGATGAAGAAGAGACTCGAAGCGGCGGAAATCTAGTTCTACAGAAGGATACTGAGGATACCATGAGCCGAATATGTGAACAGCAACGATATTTTTGTAGAGAATGGAAACGAAACTTATACTTAACATCAGGAAGAGACTGCTAAACTTCCTGGGATACGTAATGAGAAAGGAGGGCTTAGAAAATCTGGTACTCACAGGTCAGATTAATGGAAAGAGGGACAGGAGAAATCAACGCGTGACAGACATAATGGGCTTGAGCAAGAGAATGGTGGAACAGGGTCTGGGAGAAATAGCAAAAAGACAAAACTACAAGGGACAGAATGGAGTGGAGAGCCATGATCGCCTACGTCCTGAAGGGACACGGCACATAAAAGAAAAATGATCTAAATATTAATTAGAGACATGTCATCATAGATCATTTCATCTTAAATAATCAACAAAGTTTTTCGGCAATTTTTAACATAAGCTTGAGAATTTCGCTTGTTAAAGAGTTGAAGAACTTTAATACATTGAACATTATAGATAAAAAAAAAATAGGGAATTTTATATAGTTTTTTTTTTTTTTTATATAGTGCTTTTTTTCCGAGACTTAGCATGCGCAAAGGAAATTCACGGATTTGGACGAATAAAAAAAGACCCCCAAAATGACGTCAAAATCTGCGAACATTTTTCATCCTTTATTCGTCAGTGTTGGGCTTAGTTTAATTTGTAACGTATATAAATGTAGGTAGAAAAACGGCCCTGCTGACCGGTAATAAAGTCACAGGAAAAAAGTCACAATTTTGGCTAGAAAAAAATCACAGAAAAAAGTGACACTTACGGTGGCTGATAATAAAGTCATCTATTTTTGTTGGGTAGTTAACTAGTTTATGGGTCCGTACTCTTTGCAACAAAAATTCATAGTAAATCGATGCAATCTCTAAAAATGTTTTTCTAACTAGAGCGGGGTAGAGCAATGGCAGAAAGGTATATTCTTCTATTTGTATTTCCCCCATTATGGGCATTATTATATCCGTAATGTAATAACACCGTATTTCACAGACAGAACGGAATGGCTGAAAGGAAAAGGAATGACAAACCACTCATACACAAAACTATATATAAATATATACAAGTGTCATGCGCGGAGAGTAATATATCACATATATCTACAGAGAAAAGAAGAGCGTAAGGAGAAACGAAAAGGAATGGTCTTATATATATGTATATACTTCTGATCTGGATTCAAACGGGTCGGATTTATCTATTATGTCCCGCGTAAGGACACTTTCCATAAAGAAGAAACAGCGAGTGTGGGGGATTTTCCCAAATTTAGGACCGCTAGCCGAAGTTTCTTTCTATATCTGGGTAAGATATATTTCCAAAAGTAAACGGCATTATGGACTTGTAAGCTGTTGGAGAGGTAGATGTAGCCTGTGCTCCTGGGCTTCTAAAGAAAGTAAACTTTCGGTTTGTCTCCTATAAACAAACTAAATGACTGAGTGGCTATTCACGTCACTAAGCGGTCGTCATTTGATCCATGTGACATATCTACTCAAAAGGGAGATAATCGTCTTGTGTATCACCATAGACCATTGCTACGATCACATATTCGACATATAGCATAATTAGGAAGTATCCGTATCCCATAAGGCCTGACTTTATGCGAAAAAAGACTCAATATGAATATAAATTCCTTGAATTTTCAATTTCTTTATAAGAGTTGGAATTTGTCTGCTGGGGTTTTGTCCGTTCTGTGCTTACCTTCGTCTGTTTTTTTTTCTTTTTTCCTGTGACTTTTTTTACCTGGATTTTTACGTAGATTCTAATAAACAGTGAAAATCGAAAATTGAAAAATAAAATGAAGCGTCTTGTAAAACTGATAAATAAGGAATGAAAGTTATATGGTTAGATTTCAATTTTTGTTTTTTTTTTTTTTTGCCTGTTGAGCTTCTTTGCCTAATCAGTAAAATAGCTGATCCGAACAGGTAGACTATCCAATGATAAAAAAAAATATGAGATTGGATCTCGCCGAAGTTTTAATGTTTATTTCAGAGAAACATTATTTATTAAACATCGTAGAGTGACGATCGCAAAGTTACAATAAATGTAATAGAAATATGATGAAAGATTTATCAAAATTCCTTCATTCTTTCTTTCTTTCTTTCTTTCTTTCTTTCTTTCGTTCTTTTCCTGATTCTGTCCAGATTTTTCTGCCCTCGTAAATCAGTTTCATTACCACCGCATACTTCACCAGAGATGCATTAGCAAAAAAGAACATGACGTCAAGTTGTAGCCACATCACAATGACAAACAAGCTAAGAAATTCAGACAACTTAAGATAATTACGTCTTATTACTACTACTAGGTGTAAACATGCCATAGAAATATGATGAAAGAAAAATGAGTGAAAAAATCAAATAATAATACTTTTTACCTCTTGCCACTTTTTGCTAAGCTTTTACGATTGGGAACTAGCCCTGATCCAAGGAAGTAAATTGATTTCATTTGCATACATTTCCCAAAAATGAAGATAGATAGATAGATAGATAGATAGATAGATAGATAGATAGATAGATAGATAGATGTGAACAGAGATAGGAAAAAAGAAATACACAGAGAGAGAGAGAGAGAGGGATATTCTGAAACTTAGATAGATAGATAGATAGATAGATAGATAGATAGATAGATAGATAGATAGATAGATATGAAACAGTTACATGAGAACCTGGCCTTGGTTGGCAGGCACTGGGTAACGTATAAGGCAGCCAAGAGTAATGGAATGAACAGACGCGCGAGAACATGTGAAACATTTGGAGAACTCTTTGACGTTGCCATATATCTCAAAAGGAATCGGTGTCAAGGTTACCCCCTCACAACTTTTTACTCATCTCTCTCTCTCTATCTCCCACACACTCTCTCTCTCTCTCTCTCTCTCTCGCTCGCTCGCTCTCTCTCTCTGTACATATGCGTTTCTTTTCTTTATTTATCTCTGCCTTTTTTTCTTTCCCTGTAAACTCGTTTGCTTTTTCGTCTCTTCATTTTATGAAGATTCTCAGACATTTTGTTCACCCTGCTCACTCATCCGATTGAGATGCTTACCTTTATTTTGTTTTTTTTTCCGTTCGTTCGTTCTTTCTTTCTTTAATCCATTCTTTCTTTATTTCCTTCATTCTTTCTTTCTTTCTTTTATTCCTTCTTTCCGTCTTTCATTTTTAGTCTTTATTTATTTGCTTCATTCTCTCTTTCTTTCATTCTTTCTTTTCTTCTTTTTTTCATTCATTCACTCATTCATTCTATTTATTTATTTCTTATTATTAAATTCAGTCTTTCTTCATTCATTCTATCTTTCATTCGTTCTTTTTCTTTCATTTCTTCTTTATTCCCTTCTTTCTATAATTCTTTCTTTTCTTCCTTCATTTTATTTCTTTATTTCTCGCTTTATTTTATTCATCATTTATGTTTCTTTCTTCCTTTGTTTTTTTCTATTTCATTCAATCATTGTTTCTTTTCTTTTCTTTGTTGTTCTTTCTTTCTTTTCAATTTTTCTTTCGATCATTTGTTCATCTTTCTTTTATTTCTTCTTTTTTCTTTCTTTCAGTCTATCATTTTTCTTTTTTTTATTCATTGTCTCTTTCATTTCTTTCTTTACCTGGCACTTCCCAAATTCTCTTACCGTCATCAATCATTTTCATTGGCACCAAATTCTCCAGAGATGCTTTACCAACAAAGTACAAGACGTCAAGTTGTAGACACATCACAAATCTGCCTTCTTCTCTAGTTTTGCTTATACTGCTCTGTAAAATAATTAGGAAACAAAATGTATTTTTTACTATTGGTCACCCAATGAAAGGCCAGAGAGCCTCTCAAGGTAGAAGGTTACTAAATAGTGTTGCTGTAAGGGTGTGAAGGTAAAAAGTAAGAAGTGTATGAGGACATGTAAGATAATGCTTGATCCTAGATTTGACGAGGTTAAGAGTGTAGTGATCAAAGAAGCATCCTCTTGGGAGTCTGTTTCGCAATTCCGGGGAAAAACTGTCTAAGTGGAACTTCCTCCTCACTTCACCAATGGAATATGAGAAGGGATAAGGATGGCTTAGCGTGTCCTCGCCGTGATCTGAGCCGGAGTAATCAAGAAACGTAGCTCGTCAAAACAGCTACCATAAAAATGGAGATAGTGTGTAGTGGGGTCGCTAGGAACGGGCTTTCGGCTGGGGGTAAGGGGTTGTAGGTCGCGCAAAAGCTTTCGAGCACTGTCAGGACTGGAAAATGAGGATTGGGCCGCTCTAGCCCAGATGTGGCAGCAATACTCTGTGCCCCGCGAAAATAATAGTCGACCTTTTGTAGTTTGACGGCATATTTAATATAAACACCTTCGTGAGAAATATGATATCAATATTATACAGTGTAACCCGGATATAAGAGAAACCCGGATATAAGAGAGGCTTTCTCTGGTCCCAGATTAGAGCCTGTGTTAATGTATATAAATTAGACCAAACCCGGATATAAGAGAAACCCGGATATAAGAGAGGCTTTCTCTGGTCCCAGATTAGAGCCTGTGTTAATGTATATAAATTAGACCAAACCCGGATATAAGAGAAACCCGGATATAAGAGACGTCTTCTCCGGTCCCGACAACTCTCTTATATCCGGGTTACATTGTATATAATTGATTATTTGGGCAGAAAACCTTCTATTATAGGTTTCATTGAAGACGACTGATAAGGCACTGCGATTAAGATTTTTATCATATTTTTCTTGCATTTGTAAAAGGTTTTTTTTTTTTTGAACATATTGTGTAAGAACTGCCCAAATGATCTATGGATCCGAGCGCTTACGACTAACCAATTAGCCATTATTTTGGCTGTTTTTTTTGTTTGTCGGAAGACTTATCGTATTCAGAAACAATGTTCAGCAGGGAATATAAAGGAATTTTGTCAAGTATTAATGTATGAATCAATTGTTTGAATGGAAGTATATGACTAATAGGCCAGGGCAAATATAAATTGATCTTCCACTTTTTTGAACAATAAAAATCTTACATTAATACACTTTATATGGGCCCAAATGCACATCTACTTTTAGAAACAGTGGTGGTCATTTTTGTTGCTGCTGCTATTATATCTTCTACTGTCGCTTTGACCGCCACCTCAGGTTCAACCTCTGCTTCGGTTTCAAGCAAGTGTTCATCTGTCACCGCTTTTTTCAAAGTTAAGAAGAATCAACATCATAGAGAAAATGACGCCACAGAAAAAACAGAAGATAAACTTCTGGAAAGAAAAACTTCGGAAGCAAATGAAGAAAGTGAAGCCAAAACGTTTCACTATCAGGAAACTAAATTAAGACTGTTTTTTACATATAGTCCCTGAATCTTGTGTTTGTGAACTGTTGGAGCCCCTTTTGAAAATTCCATACGGAATTTTCCTTCAGATAAAATTTCTTCAACAGTTTACAGAATGGTGAGAAAGCTTGCTTTCCTTTCGGACATTAAGACTTGCTGCAGTGTTAAGTGCAGAAAACTGCACTTTAGTTTTCAATGCCACGACTCAAGATGAAATTAACGTTGTGTGATTTTAACAACACCATCATCCTCTTATCTTGTGTCGCTGGAACGTCTTTCTGGAGGTACTGCAAAAGACTACAAGTAGCATATGTGCGACTGCATCAACAAATTAAGTAAGATCAGTGTCTATTGGCCTAAGTGTTGATGATAATTTAAAATACATAGTTTCGAAAATCAAATGCTGCTTAACAGACCGGTCTCCCATCAAAAAGAAGTGGCAGATTCAAGTTACAGAACTGAACTGTAATTTGCATCCATTAAAAACAGTTCCGTCGAAGACGGGAAAGATCCTGAGTGAGCTCAAATACGGGAATTCCAAATGTTCGTGAGTGCCTTGCATGGCGAATAATTGTGACCATGAATTTCCTCAGATATAGTGATACATTATGGATTATTATCACAATGAAGCCCTTTTTTTCTTTAGCAACAAGTGCCTCCATTGTCCCTAATCTTTGGATTCGAGGAAATCTGTTACATAATTTTTCATCTAGGTGCAACTTTCCCATTTTCGAACAGTGCAAACAATTGGAACTTTAGTCCACAAAATGAAACCATCTCAAGGTCGCAGCTATTATTTACAGAAGCCGAGATGCAAGTACTTTGGAATCATAGGTAAGATGCTACCAAGGCCTTGGATGAGTACTATCTACACATATCTAAAGACTCAAAAAACCATCGATACAATGAACATAGTTAAGGGGATCATTGAAAATCTGAAGGTACTAAACGATGCCTCCCATAATTGTTGTTCGAAAAGGACTTCTTTAGCAGTCCATTACCAAAGATATACATCGATTATATATTGATTTCCGTCCTAAATGAACTTTTTATTTCGAAAAGTGATAACGGAAGATTTAAGCAGGCATTATGAAAAATCATTGAGAAGTTTCTTCTCAGTCAGTGTTATTATCGGTGAATTTTATGAAAAAAAGAAACTTGCGTCTCATGTTTTGTATCCAGCGAGAGGTATCATCAAGGCCTTCGGAATAAAATGAGAGAATTCATCGATGATCTGAATTAAGCAATTCCATAATGAATTTTGCCACTGGCGTACAGCAGAAAAGAGAAACTTGCGTCGAAGGATCAAATGTTTTTAAAAAAAAAAGAACCAGAATCCAGAAATATTTACAGAATTTTAAAATCTGTCAATGTCTTCTTTGCGGAATAAAAATGAAGAATTCATCGATGATGGTATCATATTTAGCCATACCATAAGACTTATGTGGACAATTGATCGTCTAAACTGGAAATATATTTGATACATGATGCGTTTTGTAAATGTATTTTATAGGATTTACTATCTCAATACTTCGTTAAAAAAAGAGCATACCCTGATTAAACAATTTTTTTAATCGTCTAAATGTCTATGTTATTATTAAAAGGAAAACCAAACTATTTACGGGAGTCCTTTCTATACTAGCGAAAGAAGTTAAAAATCTTGTTTTTTTTTTTTTTTATTTTGAAGTCATCAAAATTTACAAAAAACCAATCATATCAGCCAAATTTTACAAAAAAAAATGAAATTCTCCGTTTAAAAATCTTGTAAAATTCAAATTTTAGGAAAATTAGAAAGAAATATTTATGTAATTTGAAACAAACATTACTTAAACTTTTAGCAAAAAGAATAATTAGTTGGAAATAAGACAGAAGCATGTCTAACCGTGGTGATTGGTTTTGGAGGTATGAATTGATGCTTACGTAAGATATCGACAACTTCAGGGCAATTTATCTGACGGAAGGGCAAAAGTGACAGTATTTTCATGGTGAATCAGCTTATTTAGATATAAAGCTTTAAAATTAAATACTTTCAAAAGTCTAATATTTATTGATTTTTTAAGTCCTTTTAACGAAGATGGACAATGTTTCCGTGACTAAAATTGAATCTAAAAAGAAAACTGGGAATATATTTGATGAAAATGAAAAAATGCGTTTTAATAAAATGAAAAGAAAATATTTAGTGAAATATGTAAAAAAAAAAAAGAAAATTATCTTTTTGAAAATGCGACGATGTTATTTCAGAGAATTTGATGCGAAATCAACACAAATTAATGACCGGTCCTCGCAATCTGAAAAAGCGCTTAAAAAATTTCTAATGCCTCAGTAGTTTTGCCGGAAAAGTTTTTTAATCCACTATTTAGCGACAAAATGCTTCCCAGATTATAAAAAAAAAAAGGTCTTTTAATAAAAATCATTTTCAATAAATCAAACTTAATTTTAAAATATTTTCAAATTTTGTATTTA